AGGAGCAGTTTAAGGAAATTATGAGCAAATTTCAATATTTCAGATATTCCTGTTTTCCACTTTTCCCGGTTTTTCCGGTTTTTCAAATCTGTAGCAATCCTGAGTAATTAGTAGAGTAGTTCAACGAAATTATTTTTAGATCTATATTTATAATTAAATTTGTAGATACTTGAGCAAACTCGTTCTTTCCATATAACTAAGAGACTATAATGTCTCGTTGTTGCTTTCCCGTGTACATATCTTTCTCTTTTCATGAAACATGAATAATATATTTTATTTAATGTAAAAAAAGGAAACAAAAATTACCAATTAAGAGTCAAAGCGATTAACGGGGTGCGCAAAGAAATTTTTATTAACATTTAACAAACGTAGATACGTTTCGACCAACGGTTTCGGTTCCTTATCAATGCAAATACAAAACTACAAACTATTATTAATATATATATAAATATAACAAAACATGTAAACAGCGCATGATATCTTGCATAATGGTCATCTAGTTATTGCAGAAGTCAGAGTTTCTTGCGAACAAGAAAAAGTCTGTAATTAAGGTGTATTATAACAGTGGTCAATTTATTTATTTATTACACTTATTGGTAGCACTATTTCTATTTATCTTATCGTTCGCGTAAAAAATTCTGCCGACGCCCATGGGTCGCTGTAGGTAAGAGGTAGGGAAGGTAAAGGGGTATCAAAACTGAAAGAGGGAGAAGGGAAAGAGAGAGAATCACATGGTGTCTGCCGAGCGGTTATCGACCAGCTAGCAGCAGGGTGGCCATGTGCCCTCCAAATCAAAGGGTGCCATAGGTGGCTATAGCGTACACACCGGTCGGCGGGAAAGAACTTCTTATTAGTTGTTGGATCCCGTTACCGAAAGTTGCGTTACAAATTACACGACCTCGCGAGATTGCGCCTTCGAGAATCCCGTCTAGACCGGCAACGTGCTCGGAAAGCAAATGCAGAACTGAAGGGGTAGCTTGCGCAAATATTCACCCCGAAATACGCCCGGCTTGAATGCGAATCGATCAAACTTCCGCGCTGTATCCATCCCCGCATCATCTACGACACGATCGTTGTTTAAAGTAGAGAATTACCTCGAAAAAAAAAACTTTTAGGTAGTATTGAAATATCGTATTGTATTCGCGTGATTTTTATTCGAATTAAGTCTCTTGCTCTATAACTTCTGGTATGTAGCTGTGTACTCCGGAAATGTCAACGATGCTTTGCGCTTGAAGCCAACTGACAACATTAAACTTTCTTTCAGATGATTATCGAATAAATACTGCAGACATAGTCTAACATTTCAAATTTGTACTTCGAACGAACGCAATGATTAGATACATCTCCATTTATTAGCATCCGTTTGTTAACATTGCTGTGTAAAGCTGCCTACATGTACAATGTTCACAGTGCGTATGTTGATACGATTCAGATATTTGCCATCCACTTGAGCTCGACCTCTCGTGACGGAAATTTTAATGAAATTAAACCGCCGCCTCGAGTTGTCTTTTGCGGCAGAAGTAATTAATATTTAATCAACAATTTAAGAACAATTTGAATTTCTCATGTTTAACAACTTAATATGAGGAAATTAGGGCTATAAGGAATCGTAGTAGCTCTAATTTCTGAATTTGCCATAAAATTCAGGAAAATCGGGGAAACGTGAGAAAAATTAAAAACCCAGAGAAATTTTGCAAAATTTCCTTTACTTTTAGAGAAATCAGGGAAAAGTAAAGGAATTTTGCAAAATTTTCTGAAAAATCAAAATTTTTTTTTTAAAGAAGTTTAATATGCGTACACAATTATCATACATATTCAGTTTTGGAATATTATCAACTTAATAACCAACTTAAATGCAAGCAACATTAATATTGTAGAAGCACTGAGAGTCTGTTTTTATCCAGGCGAAATTTCGCTCTCAAATTTCTTGTGGCACGAATTTTAATTTGTATTAAATGAAGGTTTTAATATTTAAATTAAATAACTATTTGTGACAACGTAGCAGAAATACTGAAAAGTAATCCTGAATTTTTTTGCATTTTTTGAAAGCTTAACAATAAAAAAATTTGAACTGGACAAAAAAGACCCACAGTACCTACCTTCTACCCTACGAAAGAACAATTTAGCAATTTACATTGCTATGTTAAATTGTTCAGCAAAATACAATATTTGACGATTTCCAAATCAAGGCAAAAATACAAAAACTTTCAAAATATTATTGAAAACATCAGTGAAGATGAAGAAATATTATCTGAAAATCGGAGAAAATAAAATTATAAAATTTTAGGAATATGGTGACAATCCTGATTTCCTCATGTTACTAATATTTAATCAATCAATTGCGATCAGTGATAAAGGATTTTACATTCTGGTTAATTATTATTCAGATCACACCAGGTAAGAATTCGATTGTCCATCGAACTATAAACTTGGCGCCTTATATCTATTCGGGAACGGTCTCTCATCGTCCTTCGCCATCGACCACTGTCTCACTTCTGTTGCCTCGTGTTATTGATCATTATATAACTAGATATACGTTGTATGCGCTTCTCTCTTTCTCTCTCTCTCTCTCTCTCTCTTCTCTCTCTTTCATATGCCGGCAATAGCGAGCACGTGCCGCCGTGCACGGTATCGTATCATTTTCGCCGCTAGCGTAAGCTTCCGAGGCAAGTTACAACGTTATCCGATAACGTCGTAACGCAAAACGCGAGTGGAATACATTTGCCGAGGCATGTCGCGCATTTATAGAGCTAATTGGAAGATTAATAATAGGAGGAATTTATGAGTTTTTCCGCGCGATTCCGGTAGATTAACCGCGCGCGTTGCGTCTAATCGCGTTTCAGCTACGACGAAAATTGCTCTCACCGGAGGCTATTTGTGTCGCGCGATATTCCGTACTCAACTGAGATCGCTGACAATGCGTTTTTAACGCGTTCGCGACGCGAGAAACGCACGATTTCGCGCACATTTCGCGATTCGATATGCGAAAACTTTACACGACATACTTACATTGCGACATTTTTCACACGTAATATTTCACGTATGTCTTTCGTGCAAAGAGAATGTCGAAGCGAGCTTGAGATTGGAAGCAACTTGCTTTGTAGAATAAAGACGCAGGAGTTATTCCCATATATTTGCTTTATTTGCCGGCGACGTGTATTTGTACAAACGTAAGTGATATATGTACGTTTGACAGAACCGATAAAAACTCGACAGTAATGTCGCGAGGGAACGTCCTGAAATACTTTGAAACTCTATTTTTATAGATGTGCCCAATGGGTATTAGTGGTTACATTCTTCGATCCAACTTTTAGAGAGAAACATCAATAGAAATAATTCCTAAAATAAAATTCCTGGATTAAATAATTCATGCATCGCTGTTTGACATATTTCCTATATTAAATGTACGTAGGCGGTCGTATTTTTGATATTCATATCGGGCTAATTCACATTGGAAACATTGATATGCGAGCTGGTCGCATGTATTATTTGTAAAGTTCTCCGAAGATGTTCGACTTCGATCTGGATTTCATTGTAAAACGCGACGCTCAAAAATATCCTGCGTTGTAGTCGCGAATGGACTACAGGGAATAACATATGTCGTTTATCTTTTTATGAAGCTCCGCACAGCAACCAGATATAAATATCATACGCGATGGAAAAATCATGTATTTCGTGCAAATTTCGTGTCTCTGATTTTTCTTATTCCCGATAATTTTAATTAGAAACGACGTTTACTTAACCTGGTTATTATATGGAAAAACCAGTTTTGTCGAAGTATTGAAAAATTTAATTAGATACATATCCGAAATTAATTTTGTCTCATAACAGAAAAGTATCGAGATATATCAATAAATTTACCGTTTGTTATAAAGGATTAAAAATGGAAGAAAAGATATTTTCGCCACATTCTGCTATATTACTATCATAAAGGTAAAATCGCAGTGCAAAATCTGAAAAAAGACACGTGCAATGGAGGATAGTGTGAATCATCACATGTGCCAATTTTGGTTTGGAAAGTTCTATGGTGAGAATTTCTTGAAGACGAGCAACGTTCTGGTAGGCCAAATATAGTAGATGATGAGCAAATGAATGTCTTGATCGAAAATAATCTGCATCGCCTCACTTAAAATATCTATCGCAGTAGAACTTGGAATATCTAAATCGAATGTCAGAATCAATACAAGTAAAAAACGAGGAGACTTTTTAGCCAATCCAATTATGTAGCGAAGCATTCAAGCACGAGTTGCAAAAAGTTTTTAACATTTTAGCCACTAATTTAATATTCTATATAATTATTTCGATAGGCAAAACAAAATTATCCTCTCTCGTAGATATAGATATTTTGTAAACACACTGAGTCTTTTTGTCCAGAACAAATTTTTAATCGTTTTAGACTTTCAAAAAATTTAGAAAAATTCCGGATTACTCTTCAACATTTCCATTACATTGCCAAATAGTTATTTAATTCAAATATTAAAATCTTTATTAAATAAAAATTTAAATTTAAATTTCTTAGTGCAAATTTCCAATCTCAAATCTTTCTCTTCAAATTTCCATCTCCCAATTGGGAGTGGAATTTCGTCTAGATAAAAAAAAATCCAGTAAATCTGTGAAGGATTATTTTCAGATCTGTATGTAGCTAAATTTTTAGATTTTAACAAAAAAATGTGTCTTTCCGTTCATCTCTCTCTAAGTTCACCTCTCGGGAACGAGATGAATCGACGTCGGCAAGTCGGCGGGTTAAGCGTTTGCCAGTCTGAAAACTGTGCTATTGCGCTGCTACTGAGCGCCGAATTACCGCAATCTGCTAATAGATTCACGTGATCGGTTCCGTGGACCGTGCGCAGCACACACACACGTGGGACAAGTGTCTCTCTCTTTCTCTCGTACGACGATCAGTTCTTCGATCATGGTGGGGCAAGTTACGAACGACGTTATACAGAAGTGGCCACGTGAGTAGGAGGAAACCGGAGGAAACGTTTCAGTGTCGAGTCAGCCGTGATTGCGTCGCTGTTTTGCCGTCCTCGTCCTCGTCTTCATCGGCCTCGTTTCCATTGTCGTCATTGTCGTCTCTGTCGCGTGACTCTGATGGGACGGCATCATTAAGACACGAGATGCGCGTTTCAATCGTCCCGTCCGATTCTACGAGATCTCCCGAGGATCAACTAGGTGAACTGGGTCAGGTGCCAAACGAAGCAGAGCGACCTGATTGATGCCTCGGAGAGATCCGGTTCCGGAAACGGAGTGCTCCTCTTTTAGCCGCGAGCAATTAGAAACGCACCCGGCACGACGGATCGGGCCGCGCGCGGTGAAAAATTGATTCGCGCCACGACGATGAGACGTGCGTTAATTTGTCTAGCTCTCTCTAGCGAAAGCCTATATACGGGTGATAAGTGGTTCTAGTTAAGGAAACTGTATTAATCGATGCATTTATCGTGCTCCAGTTTCCGTCGAGTCGAGCCGGTTAGTATAAACGATTGAATATATATATAGCGACTGAATATATATAGTGCGACACATTTACGGACTGAAACATTGAATGAAATTGCAATCGATATTCGAAGGTTAATTCCTGTGCCTTGGAGAAAATTGCACGGGCAATTATGCGCATAATAGATAGTTTAAGTATATCTCAAATGTATTCCAAGAATTTAACATTAAGAAATTCTCGATAACAACATACATGTTTGTAACTGTTAAGGTCGCGCATAGTTTCGAAACGTGCAGTTGCACGTGATATTACTTGTGGAAAAGTGATTCCATAATTTGCACGTACATATTTCCACATGTAAGAGAATAATGCAGCGAAATTGCACAGTACGAGGTACAGCTAGTGGAGATTTGCAAGATAGGTGAAACACCAATAAAACCGCAAAGTTGCAAACCGCGATAAGCGTATGCATCACGCGTTTAAATACGCGTGTGAGACTTGAAAAGGAAGATACATTATTGAAAAAAGTTTCTTGTTGAAATTATAATTCTAGTAGATTCAACTAGAAAGGTACAAATCATACACAGAAACTATTTTGTTGAAGTATTAAAAATTTTTGATAAATACAAATTTGAAAATAATTTTGTTGGATCATCAAAATTATTTATATAAGACGCTCAAGCATAATGAGCGTATGTTACAAAAAATTTTGATATTCTAGCAGCCATCTTGAACATTCTACGTAATTATTATGATGGTCTGAATAAAATTATTTTCAGATTTACACACTGAGAGAAAAAAATGATTGGAATAACCATAAATTTAACTAATAATATACAGTCATTTTTGGGACAACTAAATTTATAATTATTTTGACCATATGAATTATAGTAACTTAAACACTAAATTATAATCATAACAATCATAATATGTATTCATGTAATATTATTCATGTAATTAATTGTATATTGTTATCTTACACATAAATCATATTTGCATATAGTAAATTATACTACAAAATGTTGTAATTATACATATAAGGTTATTGTTATAACAATATATACTAACATTATAGCAATAATAATTATAAAAATAATACTCATAACCATAATTATTTTATCAATTATAGTCACAAATATGATATATTTTTCTCTCAGTATATGCAATTAAATTTTTAGATACTTTAGTGAAACCGTCCTTTTTATATAATTAAATTTATGATTTTGCTGAATTATTTAAAAACTTAGATATAGATCTGAAAATAATTTTGTTTGGACCATCAAATTAGGATACTCAAATTGATTTTTAAACTATCAGAACTGTTTGCAACATTGCCGGCAACGTTTAAACGTTCTACATATTTTGATGGTTCAATAAAATTATTTTCAGAGCTATATTTCTCGTTTGACGCACTTAGGAAATCCGTCCTTTTTATATAATTAAATCTACATGGAAAGAATAATATTAAAAAATTTAGCTTGATATGCAGATCTGAAAATAATTTTGTTTGGACCATCAAAATAATTATGTAGGACGCTCAAACTAGTTGCAGGAATGTCAATATTTTTTCCAGCATTATCAACAACGCTTCAATGTTCTACATAATTATTTCGGTGGTCCAACAAAATTATTTTCAGATCTGCATCTAGCTAAATTTTTAGATATTTTTTAACAAAATTGTTCTTTCCAATGTATCAAACTCGATTTTCCAATCGAGATAACCAGAAGTTTAATTATCAGAATTCTGATTTATATGATTAAAGTTCGTTTCGTTCGTACTTCTTGTTGTACAATTAGAACATTTTTCTTAGTGTAGGTAAAGTCAGTTTTCCAGCTTAATGCAAACGAGATTGGCTGCGAGAACTCGGGGCATTAACTCGATAATGAATGTTCGCGTTCCTGTCGAAGCCGTTAAAATTTCGGTTAGTTCGGTTCCTTGACTCTAAAGCACAGAGATTTAATTAATCGAAGTTGGAAGGATGTGAAATGCCGTGGGAAGTGCGCGATATAAAAGTTCCGATCAAGTTGACGTCTAGGGATATCGCGGCTTTTCTATTGAGATACTGTGAACACAATCTCATTACACACCGCCATTTGCGTTGGCTGCGTGCACCTTGAACAATGGAAAAAAACGCCGCATAATAATCGTGACTTGGATTCAAATGAGGGATTTGCTGACTAAGCTCATTTCTCATTAATAGCGCGCGAGAGCAGCTCACCCCTAATCTTAATAATGGGATAGCTTTTGCACGAAACGTAAAGAAAGAATTACTCAATTGATTCAAAATGTTTTGCCCCATGACTTTTTATACAGAGTGTCCCATTTTAACATCGAAATATACCTTGAAAAATATAAAAGATATGAAAAAATGTTTCAAAAGTTGTATGATCTAAAAAAGAACAAATAATGATAAAATTAATTTTTTAATTTTATCATTATTTGTTCTTTTTTTTTGAAAAACAGATTTTTCCGAAAGTTGATTTTAACTATTATTTATTCTTTTTTAGCTCATACAGTTTTTGTCTGAAACATTTTTCATATAAATAATATTAAACAAAATATCTTTTAAAGCCATAAATGTGAATACGTAACCGATAAAAGCTTTAAACAGTTAAATTGGATTTTTTTAGTACTTAAATAATTCTGTGTAAATTTATATTTATATATCTAATCCTGCAAATTGCGCATCAAATTTAATTTTCAATCTTAAAACGCAATCCTAACAAAACAGAATAGTAATATTATTAAATTGACAAGCAATTTAGTATATTGATGTTCATCTATACAAAAATGTATTATTATATATTATTGCTAAGAAAATTGATTACTCGATTTATTTTTTTCTTTTAAGTAACGGCTATCTTTAACAAAAAACTTTTAAGGATATTCACAACCTGATCTTAATAATCATTTTTAAATCTATTGATAATTTTATTTGCGAGAAAAATATTACTTTAGCCGGAATTCAAAAAATATTACTTTATCTGAATTTTCTGAAATGTCTTCTTATATTTCTCTTTCCTGGAATTTTTCCATATCTTACATTTTTCAATATCAGTTAAATATTTCGATATTAGAAAATCGTACACCTCATATATGCGAGTCTGAAACATACACTTCATTCGTTTTTACACACTGAAAAGTCTTATTGCATTGGAATTCTGATAGATATAAATCAAAAAATACAAATCAGCTTATAATTAAATCTATAATTAAATTAAATTCCAATCGAAGAAACAAGACATTTAATTATATTCGATAATCAGAATTCTAATTCATATAATTAGAGCTCGTTTCGTTTGTACTTCTTGTTAGTACAACCAGAATATTATTCTCAGTATGTAAGGAGGTTCAATAACATGAACGCATCACTGATTAAATTAAACGACAAATTGCCTCGTTGATCAATGCCGCACTGATGATAAACTGATTTAGGAACCAATGATCCTATTTAAATTATCTGACGATACGGTTAGTTAGTGCGAGTTGATCAACCATGAAATTCTCATGCAAACGAAGCATGGAAGCGAAGCAAAAAGAATGCTTGAACTCGAATGCTCGTTTCTCGCATTCTAATTAGTAATTTATATGACTCTCCGTGGCGCGATGATATCTGGCATATCCGATTGAAGCTCTGATTTCAAAAACTTGCGTCATAATACGAAATTTCTGGCGAATAAGAAACAGCCGTAGCAATTATTAATCAACCAATAACCGATCGAAAACAAAACGGAGATCGATCAATTGTAGCGAAATTTCTTGCGTGACGATCGTCGTTTGGATACTCGAAAAGAAATCGTTATAAGGCTGAATAAAATATGTAAAATAATATGTTCTATTTCCAATACAGCTGCATATTCAATTATTTTTCTCGTAATTCAATTATCATTTCAACGAAAGATCGCATATTGCGAACAGAGTAATTACCAACGACTATTTATTAAAATCAATAATAAACTGATATTAATTTTCAAAACTGTACATTACTCTTCTGGAAAATGATATGTGAATTTTGCGATAATATAATTCAAGATTTAAATTAAAAAATATTATGCACGGAAAGAATGATTTTTGCTGAAGCTCCAAAAATTTTGTTGGATCTGAAATTATTTTGTTAGACCGAAATTTTTAAGGACACTACTCAAATTGATTGCTAGAATGTTAAAATTATTTTCTGTAAATAAAAAGGTCTGTATCCCGCTAGATTTTTGATACTTCAACAAAATCGTTCTCTCTGTGGGACTATGATAAATACACAATGGCACTTCTTCTACAACTATGTAGATGGCACAATCGATGCTTTTACTGCGTACTACTTGTCACTTTGAGATCTTGTTGATACTTTACAATAGAAAAGTCTTTTAAAAACTTGACACATATTTTGAATGGATATCATTAATGGCAATGAAAAATTTTCACGCAGGTGACGGAAATTCAAATAACCGACTGAATAAATCCTGTTATTGCATCAACGATATTGCGAATTTCATTTATACTGGACTATTCGTTCACAATTCGCGTCGATCAAACATTGTGTCGCTGTAAAATATATAATAGATGATAGTTTAAGAAAACCTTATTGGCGCCTCATAATTTATGAAGGAAGCCACATTAAGCTGAATTAAACGCATTTGCCACGGTACTTAATTATGTCGATCGATCAGTGACAGATCGTCACTCCTTCCGCCATTTAAATCGAAATTTAACTGTTCTTTCCATCTGATTGCATGTCTAATATTTACCAATTCGATTTATCGTTTTACCACTGATTACGAAAGTCATTTTCTCGGTAACTCGCGTTTCTTTTGGCAAAGCTATCATTACGGTGTGATGGAAAGTCGTTTCACGTCGGTTACTCGAAATTTTCAGACAATCTGAAATCTTATCTTTTCTTATAGAAAATTGTCAGATAAATTTGAGAAAAGTAAGAAAGAAAGAAAATGAAGTGACATTTACATGATATAGATAGATTTTTAAATATCTCTTATCATTAATGTAAAAAAGAAGAAAATATTTCACGAAATCTATTTTCATCGAAATAAATATTCAATGCATTCCGACATTACTTCAACATTCCTAGAATAGTAGCAAGGAAGATTCTATTCAAATTCTACAATAGAAATGTCAGAGTAATGTCGAAGTGCGACAAATAAAAGGCCAGATTGGTTTCACATTAATTGATTCTACAATCAGTAATGTCGTGACGTGAATCGATTCTTAATTAGCGAATTTCCATCATTCTTCGTCATTTTTATTTGCTGCTAAACACCGCGTTTTCCATTGCGCAAGATAAAAACGGTAGATCTTATCAGTGTTGGTTTTATTTTTTTCTGCTGCTGACGTCGCCAGGCGAGGCGAGAAAGAGCGCGTTTGTGACGGGCGATATAGGAGAGACGGCGTTAAATTCTTGGTGTCGTGTAATTTAGAGCGGTCGTCCTGCATATGACGTTGCTTACGTAAGAACGTTGCGATAGCGACGCGTTGAAAGTAAATTAGAAAAGGGAGCATTTTCGAGCTATGTCGTATTATGTTCAAAAGACTGTTATTATCAACTCTCAAAGAGTATACTTACTGCTTTCTTTGTTTAACTAAGTGATGAATATAAGAATAGGACGGTAAAGAGAGAGAGAAATCAAATTTATATATTCAACACTATATATTCAAGAAAGGATTGTGAAAAATAGTTTATAATTCTAATAAAATATTGAATTATTTGCATGAATTATGAACAATTATGAACATGCGCGTCAAGTATACTACTGCTGGAGATCTTGCTCATTTTTGATTTTATTTCTACATTTTTCTACTTGTTATCGATGTCCCTAAAAATTCCTTTTCAGTTTCCGCACCTCTCATTACGCTATCTATTGTATTTCGTTCACTTTAATGTGTTGTTATACTTAATACATTTGTCATCCGTACTTTGTGTAATATATTATAATTGTGAGAAAAAAATTATTTCGTACAACTGTTTTAAAGGATATCCAAAGGACGTCTACATTATAACATTATAAGGATGCCTTCAAGATGCCGCTCGGAGAACTGTATTCTATTAGATTTTTTAAATAAATTTATATTCAATACTAAACAGAAAAGAATTCCCGATAGAAAGGATTCCCCGAAGAGTACTAAAGATAAGGATTAAACGAGTTACTCCTAACCCATTATCATACGTCGTAAACATTGTTGAACATCTATTATTTCTTCGCGCTAAAGAGGCTATAAAATCGCGAGGAGGCGATACGTCACGTCGGATGGAAGACAATAGTTATTAATGATAGACGCGGTTAATGCTGGCCGTTTGATACCGGGGAGAAGAAATAGTAGCGAGGCAATTGATGCACTTCTCTCTTTCTCGCGGAATACGAGTCCAAGCCGCGAGAAACGAGTTTTATTAGAATAGAAAGACAGGAAGGCTCTGGAAATTACGACGTTGCCTATGGGATTCCCCGGTTTCACGTGCATCCCGGGGGAATAGCCGCAAACACCCACGTATCTCACGTCTCGTTCGTTAAATAAATCTCGAACGTTATCGTCGCTCGTTAGCGACGGGCGACGGTCCTTCACTTTAAACGTCGCCTCGCTTTATCGCCAAAGTCCGCGGGATCCTGACGGATGTTCTTCCGGCGACCGCGCTATCGGCTTAGTCGCTACGCCTGCGCCCTCCTCCTCTTCTTCCTCCTCTTCTTCTTCTTCTTCCTCCCTCGCCATCCCCAAGCGAATCCGGGCCTTCGGGAAATGCCACATGACCCACGAAAATAATTAAACCTCGACGGAATCGTCCCTTCGATCGCACTGCGAATCGGCCCGGCCGGGAGCCGTTGCGCATGTTTACCAAAAGCGGATCCGCGCGTCATATCATGGAATTATAATAATTAAATTCGCACGGACCACAGTTAATCGTGATTATCAATACACAGACGGTGATCCGAAGGTTCAGTCACGCACGTCGAGAATTTTAATCAGTTCTAAATAGTATATATATATATATATACTACTATATATACATATATGTATATTACAGCGGTTACATATCGTACCGCTCTAGATGTAAAAATATCACGAGATATCCAAGAATTTACGACAGCTAATTACTTTTATGACAGGGCAAGAAGCAGTTGGCGATTCAGGAGAGGCAGAGGAAACGACGGAACAGCAGACACATGTAGCATTCGGGTGAGTGAGCATATCTTTGTTTCAACCTTCTGCACCCGGCGGGCTATTATGACAGCTCCGACGTTTTCCGCTGGAGATCACGCGAAAACGGGATCATCTGCGTGTCGAGCTTTTAATACGGACAGGCGGGAAATGCGTTCCAATGTAATATCAAGTTTTAATTCACGGACCTCTCCAACGGTTAATCTTCGCATTTCGTTTCGTTCGCCGTTAAATTTACATTTTATACGCGTAATAAAATTCGCATGATATATATTTATACAAGCTAATGCCCGGCAAATGGAGTGCTCCATCTCTACCAGAATGGGATTGAACTGTGAATCAGATTAAAATTGGAAACTCGAACTCAACTACAGACTCAACACAGTCCGTAGGAGATATGAGAATAGAACGCGAGAGAACTGCTTTCCGCCAAGCAGGAAAGTTGATGGAACAAGTTGAGATGTGGTACATTTTTAATCTATAGTCCGATTCATCTTCCACTCTATTCTCCAAGTGAGATTAAAAACATTAAATACAGCTTAATGCGCGTTTTCAAATATTTAATCGAAAATCATCCATTTTCTTTTTTTATCATGTCACACTTTATTAAAAATCACAATTAAGCAATATATTATTCTTTTTCTCACTATTATTTCTGAACGTTCCTTTTTTTCGTAACCTCAGGCATCAGTATAATGAAGCCGTCCATGAAAATGGGAGTGATCGCCTTGATAGGGATCTTCGTAGTCTTTTATCAATATCTCCTGTCCACCGGCATTACTTTCGATCAAGTAACGGTCTTCAATGCCGATACTTCCGCGAACGCTGCCGAGGATTTGCCAGTCGGTGAGGAGGATGATAGCGAAACCCCAAGGCTCGCCGAAGAAATGGTAAAAAATAATTATTAATATTTATTATACCATATACCGAAATTTATTTTATTAGAATGAAACTCATTTTACCAAAATATTTATTGAAGTAACAGGATCTTATAAGTTTTAAGTTTTTTTTCTAATTTTTTGTTGAGTCCAAAATTGGAAATTAGTAGTTACATTCAATAGAGAGAACATTTCTATATTAAATATTGATAAAAAATATGAGACATTTTCAAATATTTATATATAGCTGTGAAGATTAAAAAAAAAGTAATATTAAAAAAATCACGTATTGAGTACATATACACTCAATATAAGGGTTGTTTCCCGCTTTTTCATAAAAAAAAAGTGTTAGAAAAATGGAGAAATAATTCAATATTATTTTTATAAGATTATAAATTTATGAATATATTGACATGTTTATTGATATATA